CATATGATTGTAACTTTCGAGTAATACTATATAATGAATAGGGTTAAAAGATAAACTAAATTACTTGATATTCGAATCGAACTCGACTTAGTAAGAATTAGTTTGAACTTGGTTTGCCAACTAGTCAAACCAAAGTTGAACAACGGTTATGTTTGATGATATTTAATATGATTTTAAAAAAATTAGTTCCAAGTTCAGTTCGGTAAATAAAAGAAGTCAAATTTGAACAAAATTTTAGTCTTGTTAAAAAAGTTGAACACTAGGTATTAGATTTCATTAAACTTGTTTACACCCCTAATAATTCAAGTATTGATATATCTAAAAAGGAAAAGAAGAATGTTAAAAACAGTCTAATTTTGAAAGTTACAAATTACTCTTAGGGGCAGTTTCAAATTGCGATAACTTATTAAAAAATATTTCACCTAATAGTTTAGGTATTTTCACTAATTTTTTCGAACACTTGAAAATGGGGCCTTAAGCACTAATTTTTTTTTTCAAATCTATCATTATCCTATTTCCTTATCCTTATAGTTTAGGTATTTTCACAAATGATCTTTAGACACTTTCACGGTTATTATGATCCCAAGCTATACAAGTAAACATTTTTTATAGGGCAAATTCCACTTTACCCCCCTGTGGTTTAGCATTTTTTCACATAACCCCCCTATGGTTTCAAAAACTATACATAACCCCCTTATGGTTTGGATTAAAGTGTCAAAGTAACGGAAGTAGTCACTCGTAACGGCGTCACCTAAAATGTCAAAAATACCCTTATGTAAGGTTGAAATTTATGTATTAACCAAGGGGGGTTATGTGTATATTTTGAAAATCATAAGGGGGTTATATGGTAAAATATAAAAATCATAGGGGGTTAATGTGTTATGTATTTATAAGGGTAATTTCGACATTTTTAGAAGTTCCGTTACGAGTGACTATTTCCGTTACTTTGACACTTTAATCCAAATCATGAGGGGGTTATGTATAGCTTTTGAAATCATAGTGGGGTTATGTAAAAAAAGGGTAAACCACAGGGGGGTAAAATGTAATTTACCCTTTTTTATATGTTTGTAGCTTTTAAATTTACAATGTCTGTACTCAATTTAGTACTCCATCAGTCTATCATTACGGTGTTAGAGATCTACTAATTGGTAACTTTGTGAGAGTGTAGAACACTAGAAGACCATGAGCTCAGTGTTTTGATAATTTAAAGGGCAAATTACATTTTACTCCCTATGATTTAGTATTTTTGTACATAACCCTCCTATGGTTTTAAAAACTATATACATAACCCTTTCATGGTTTAGATTAAAGTGTCAAAGTGACGGAAATGATAATTCGCAATGGAACCTTTAAAAATGTCGAAATTACCCTTGTTTAAAAATTAAAATAGCTTAAATGACCAAAATATATAAACATAATATATATGACGTATTAACTCTGTATAATTTTATATTTTACCATATAACCCCCTTTATGGTTTAATGCTTTATCATATAACCCCCTTATGATTTTCAAAATATATAAAACCCCCTTGTGGTTAATAAATAATTTTTAACTTTACATAGGGGTATTTTTGGTATTTTAGGTGACTCCGTTATGAATTGCAAATTCTGTTACTTTGAAACTTTAATCTAAATCATGAGAAGGTGATGTATAGTTTTTGAAGTCATAGGAGGGTTATGTACAAAAACACTAAATCACAGGAGGGTAAAATGTAATTTGCCCTAATTTAAAAACGTGAATGCAATGCTTCAATTGGAAAAATTTACTTACCAATTTGATAAATATTTTTTTTTGCAAAATATATACATAACTGCCTTATGGTTAATAAATAATTTTTAACTTTATATGGGGGTATTTTTGATATTTTAGGTGACTCCGTTATGAATTGCAAATTCTGTTACTTTGACACTTTAATCTAAATCATGAGAATGTGATGTATAGTTTTTGAAGTCATAGGAGGGTTATGTACAAAAACACTAAATCACAGGAGGGTAAAATGTAATTTGCCCTAATTTAAAAACGTGAATTCAATGCTTCAATTGGAAAATTTTACTTACCAATTTGATAAATATTTTTTTTTCAAAATATATACATAACTCCCTTATGGTTAATAAATAATTTTTAACTTTACATGGGGGTATTTTTGATATTTTAGGTGATTCCGTTATGAATTGCAAATTCCGTTACTTTGACACTTTAATCTAAATCATGAGAAGGTTATGTATAGTTTTTGAAACCATAGGAGGATTATGTATAAAAACATGAATGCAATGCTTGAATTGGAAAATTTTACTTATCAATTTGATTGAATTTATGAGTATTGTCTATGTGATGGTTGTTATTAAGTATAAATGAAGTACCAATTCACAAAACTCGTTTAATATGTAAGAAAAAAAAATGAAAGATCTCTAAAACGTGAATAAAGTTTTCACTAGAGGCCAATCTCATACATCATATACTGCCTACAATATTTAGAGCATTAACAACCTGATTACCATATTAACAAAGCCTTATAGTCCGAGGCCACCTGTCTCCTTTTTAGGTAAAAATATTAGTATGAGTGAATGCATGATACATGTGCAAAATATATTTTATTGTTTAACAAGTACCCATTACCCAAGAACCTCCTTATTATTTTGTTTAAGCTAGTTTTTTTTAAGTAGCACTATTAAAAAAAACTCAAGTACCACTAGTTTTTCTTAAGCTACCATGTCTTTAGAAACAAAAGCCCAAGTCAAAGTTGCCAAGTCACATCACTTATTATTATTTTTTTCCCAATAAATCATTTCCACTTTCAATTTAATTCATGGTGATCATTGGTTGTCCTCATGGTTCTAAGAAAAGTTTCAGACATTTTACCAAAAAGAAAAAAAAAAGGGAAAAGGATTTATGCTTTCTCTTTAGACTGACTCTATATATAACGCCTATGAAAGGAAGCATTCCCTGCAAATTAAGTGCACTCGAGGTCCCTCTTGTGTTTCAATATAGATTCTTGAAGTAATTAAAACAAAGTAAATATATGATTATATTCTTCTTTTCCAGTACACTAAGGTTTTACGTCATCATCTTCTTTCAAGTAAGAGTAGAGGATTGAAGTAAAAATTTGTGGTAATGTATGATATCTTGCTGTTTCAATTAGAACCTCCTCCCCCCCCCCCCCCCCGGGGAAAAAAACACATTCCTTGAGCTTCTTTTCCAAAACTTCATTGCTTCATTCCATTGTTATAGCTTTTCTAGCCTTTGAGACCAAGATCACATTGTAGCCAGACTATTGATATAGAGGCTTATTATCAACGTACGTAGCTATACAATCTGGGAATTCGTCTGGGGAAGCTCATGCATGCTGTGAGCCCATAAACTAGTACGACGTCAATTTGAAGTCTAATGTACTAATTAATAACAAAATATAAGTAATTGTAAAATTCTTTTGCTATCCAAATTACTTATTTAAGAATAATTTGAATCGAACTTCTTCAGTTTTCATGCTTCGTCTATAAACTAATATGAACTTCAATATTTTATCAGATGAGTTTAGATAAATAAAGCAAGATCTTGTGAATCAAAACATTACCAATCAATTTAATATTTTAATTTTCTTAAGGACTTTATTATTTCCATATAAAAGAAAACACTAGACAGAATCTTGTTAAAATAGAAAGTCGGTAATGAAAGTATATCGCATTTAACATAGTGTTGAGGTCAAATTAGAAAAACAACTCAAGTTACGGCATTGGTCAAAACAAAAAACAAAGTAAAAGCAAGGGGACTAAAGCTGCAATTCCCAAAAAAATATATATTCAACTTCTTCGTTTAACCACAGAGTTACTACCACTTACTTGCATCATTTTTTTGAACCTCTCGAGATTTTCTCTCTCTAAGTGAGAGCCTCTCTTTCTAAAGTAGAGTCTCTTCTACTCTTCTCCTCGTTGTAGGAGTGTGTCTGAAAATCGAAAGAAATTAACTTTGATCCTTTTCACACTAAAAGGCAAAGTATGTATATGTATAAATTGGTAAGGTGGAAAGGGAGGATTGTGGAAATTGAAGAGTGGCGAGTCTATATTCCCTTATCAAATCCACTTTTGTAGGTAGCTTGTTTCCATATTAATTAGAATCTTTTCTTATTGATGGACTAAGCTCCTCTCTGTTGAATTAGATATAAATTCTCTCCACTCCATTGTTACATCACAACAAATGAATTTGAAATCAACAACGTTCAAAATATACTTCAGCCACTCATGTTAATTATATGCAGAAACTCATATTAAATTGACTTAATTTTATTCGTTGGTTTATTATTGCAAAATTTTGTTGTGTGACGAATTTTTCACCATTTACATATTTCAAGCAAATTGAATGCCCAAGTATTCTTAAAGAAAATATCGATTTTCAATATGTTGATCTATACACCATCAAAACGAGAAAAAATAACATAATCAGACGATTCTAAAAAAATTATATAGTAGTAATTTGAATATAAATAAATGGAAAGAAACCTAGCGTAGCTGGTGGATTTGTCTTGATCGATGTCTTGACCATACCATTATTGCAGGTGCCTTTCAATGCACATAAAATTGTCGCTCTATTACACTTCCTTTTCATCTCCATCGCATTGCTTGCTGTCAAGTTTCCATTGGCTCTCTCCATTATTTTCCACCATCGAAGGGTCCTGGTAGAAGGGGTCATTTTGCCATTATGTTATGTTGCCACCATGAGAAATAAGCCGGGTAGTGACGGTGACTGCAACGGCCTATGTTTAACATGCTGTAGATGTTCAACCCAACGTTCATGGGCACACCTTAATATCATCGAAAGGACGTTGATGAGTGTTTGAAACGAGTGCTTTTAGTAAATGGTTTTGTCGTCCAGTTACATCTTGGTTTTGTTTTTCTTCTATTGCGGATAACAAATGATTGTTTCTCTTTAGACTGACTCTATATATAATGCCTATGAAAGGAAGCATTCCCTGCAAATTAAGTAAGCTCGAGGTCCCTCTTGTGTTTCACTATAGACTACTACTAGTTTTTCCAAGCATGGCTTCTGGAAATATTGGGAATGATTGGTCTTCCGGCCTCTGTGATTGCATCAAAGATTGCCGTTCCTGTAAGTTCTAAGAATTCAAATGCTCAATAGACACCATCGTATAAGGTTTCTAAGGGTCTTAATTGTTCTATTATAATGCAATCCATGCTTCATGTTCACGAACATTTTGGCTTGACAGGTTGCCTTACCTGCTGGTGCCCTTGTATTACCTTTGGGAGGGTTGCTGAGATTGTGGATAAAGGCCAATCTTGTAAGTACAAAACAAGAACTTTTCTTATAGTTGTTCATCATTAATCTTGCTAGCTATGATCAGATATGAAATGCATTGATCCTTAATTTTTTTTTTTTTTGGATATATAGCTTGCTGCAAGATGGGGTGCATTTTCTGTGTGCTGAATCTACTCCTGTTGAATCATGGGTCCTTGTCGTGGATTATTAGCATGGGCTATCGCACTAAGATCAGGCAACAATACGGTATTATGGGAGGCTCATGCGAAGATTGTGTCCTTCATTTCTTTTGCGGGCGATGTGCCTTGTGCCAAGAGTACCGTGAACTTCAGTTCCAAGGATATGATGTTGGTGCTGGTATGAACATTTTGCTGCCCATGTCCTCCTCCTTTTTTGTATTTTAAATTCTAGAACGATTTTGGATGGTGTAGATGCAAGTCTTAGTAAAAGAATGGATTCTAGCAGCATCATAGGCAGAGTTACGTCTCTGTGTGTGTGTACATATATATATTAGGATGATAAATACTCGTGAAAGTGTCTAAAATGCAGGATGTTAAATACATAAAGTATAGGAATAAAGAGATAAAATAATAATATGTTTAAAAATTTCAGTGATTAACAGCGCCTATAACATTATTTTCCTCAAAAAAAAGGCACATCACTAAACAGGAAGATTGAAAATGTTGCATCTTACGAATGTATTAAAATTGTTTTGCTATCAACTTGAGTGATTTTGAATCCTTATTATTGACCTCAAATTCTCAATTTTATTGGACAAGTATGTCTGGTATTACATTTTCACTAAAAGGTAGGGTGAATCTATCCCGTTCTCTTGTATGCTTATCTTGTGCCTTTACTGTCCATATCAGCAAAAAAAAAAAAAAAATCTCTGACATTTTAATGATCTCAATAACCTTATTCTTTCTCATTAGAAGTTAGAATTAAGTCTTGAGTTGAGGTACATGCTGTGTCAACCAATTATTCAATCAGAAGTTAATCATAATTGGCACATACTCAATATTGTACCTTTATGGACCATTCTCCCAGATTTGGGGCAGGAACAGTCAACAGAAAAACCATCAAGACTGGTTTGTGCATTTTGCACAAGATGTAACTCAATTTACACATGATGTAACTCATTTTGTACAATACGTAACTATAGAACAAAATTTTGTGAGTTTCACACATGATGTGAAAAATGATATACAAGATGAAATCTAGACCTTACATTTTTTTGCTTCGTGCAACCGTTCCTGCCCCAAATTCCATTCTCCCTAATTGTACTTTGGTTTTCAGGTTGGGAAGCAAATGCTGCTAAAAAGGCTTATGGGGTAACTATGGCTCCAGTTGGAGAAAAGATGACACGTTAGCTCAAAAGATCTTCTGAATTATGGCCTGAACTCATTTTCCACCTTCAATTCGAAAACCTTATCCTGTTAATTTTCCTATCTAATTATCTGTTTGCAATAATCTTAGAATAAATTTTATATACATTAACAGTGTATATACTATAACCGTTGGGTTCATGACATGCGTGCAAAAGTTGAATTTCAAATTCAAATTTTACATAATTGTCATTCATCTAACGCTGAGAGTGTATATCCTATTACTATAGGAAAGATTAATCCATAATCTTAGTTCCTAAAATTCTGTGCTGTACTTCAAAACTTTCTTAGTTGCAAAATGAGATTAGTGCAACTTTATCGAGCGTGCGCTTGTCTTCTGCCACATCTTCCATCCATGTCAGATGTTGCTGAGAATCTTGTTATGTATGCTCAATTCTTTGTTTTTCATTTTTATTTTTGTTTTTTATTTTGAGGGTGTGATGTATGTAAGGCCCTGTTTGATAACCCTAGTCATTACTTAAATTAATAGGTTCAGATTTTAATATGTTCAGACGTATTTGATAACAAAAAAAAAATATGTGAATTGATTTAAAGCATTTTCGAGCTTCAAATACAACGCAAAATCAAGTGAAGGGAGCACCACACGAATAACCTCAGCTTGGCGACAAAATTTTCTAGGATAATGGATTCTCTATGAAATTCAGCTCCCTTTATGATGTATTCCTTCTCTTTTCCCTTCCTATTTTTGCTTGTCAAGATTTCGAAGAGAACAAAAATATCTATTAGTAATCCCTCAGTCCCATATTATAAGTTTTAATTTCTATTTTGATTTATCCTTAAAAAATTTGTCATAATTTAAAAAAAAAATTACAGATGCACTCCAAACAAATTATGTTACAAACTATGATTTTTTTTGTTTGTAATTGTTCCTTTTTTTAAAATTCCAAACTCAATTAGCAAAATATTAAAACATAATTGAGAGACAATAATAGAAAAACATTCTTTATTAATTGAAGTGTCTGATTAAATTTTACTTTTCTTAAATTGTGTGTAACGTTGACCGTGACATATAAATTGGGATGAACATGTATACACTGTCAGTGTATATACTATCACCATTAGTTATATGACATATGTATAAAATTTAAATTCAAAATTCAAAATTTGCTCATATAACTAATAATATATGTGCAAAATTTAAATTTAAAATTTGTTCATATGTCATTCATCCAATCGTGATAATATATACACTGACAGTATATATAAAATTGACTCATACAATAAATACAAAGCTTCCACCGGAAAAGATTCTACGTTAGGAAGTTGCTACCGTAGGTAAAGCTACGACAACAAAGCAATTGTGAAACTGGTGAGAAAGCGTACGTGTGAGCGAACAGACAACCATTGAAATCTGGCAAAGCAACCCAAAAGATCACGGGAACCTAAAGGAATCCACTTACTATGTTGTACGAATGCGTCCCAACCACCAGTTATTTGGCCCGGTGGCCACCATAAAAAACTGTAAGTTTTGACGAGTAGAATGTCAAAGATTCAAACATTGCCTCCAATCATTTGTCACAATATATGGTTTTCTCGAATTTATATAGTGCATTCGTCTTATTCAACGGTGGTTCAGTCCCAGTTTTCCTATAGGTCCAATTGGGCCTCCTCCTAAATTAAGTTGGAATAAAAATAAAGTAGATAAATGACGAATAATAAAAAAAAAAGAATATGTCTCAGTATTTTTTTTTTTCAAATATTTCGCTTATTTCATAGACACATTTTTTATATATATTTTATATTTTTAACAATTGTTTATCTTTTAATACATTAATTCCCAAAAAATGTTATAGTAATTATTTCAGATAATCTCATATCCAAACACACCTATCAAAGATACGGTTGAGTTTGAAAATACACGAACTTAAGGAAATATGTAATAAGTGCAAAATGAATAGAAAATACAAGAACTTGAATTATCGAACGTCGTTATTTTTTTGTACCTTTTTTTATAGCACGGGAAGAATGGAATTTAAAGAATGGGGAAGTATTAAGGCAATTTGAAATCTCAACCTTAATCATTAGATCAAGACCTTAATCCATTATTGTTTCACAAGTAAAATTAGCTATAGCTCAATTATGATTTTTTTTTAGTTTACATTTCAAGAAGATAGTATAGTCCGTACTGATCAAATAATTTGAAACTACAGTCACAGATAAGGAAGGACATAAAGGAAAATTATGTGGTCAAATGACATTATTGAAAATTTTTAGTCCTTTTAAGAAACTTAAATAAGCAATATAACTTTTATTATGTGTTTTTATCTTAAAGCCTTATTAGAATATGCTACATTCTGTCTCAATTTACATGTGCAATCCCGCGAGAATCCCATAGACTGAAGCATGAAGTAACTCAATCGATCGAATTTTGTCATCATAGGTTTTATTCTGCCTTACTTTAGTTCTCTATTTGAAGTGCGGGAAAATGCCGGTTTTCATCCCCAAACTTTGGGTTATGGACACATTTCGTCCCTAAACTTTTGGGCACGACGCATTTGATGTCTGAATTAATAATTTTTTACCAATGTCATCCTCAAACGGCAATTTAGCCAATTTTTAATAGAATTGATCACGTGAAAATCACATGACCGTTAAGTAAACTTAAATGTCCTTGTCTGAAAAACAAAATCAGGTGAAAATGCAGCTGTCTTCACTTTCCCTTTTTCTCTCACTTCGGCAACTTCCTCTACAAATTTTTCAAGACTAAGTTTTGCCTGCAAATTTCTCCTAGAGTAAACCCCCTTTTCCAAATCAAATTCTATCAACAAATCGAGAAGAAACTAGCATAAGGCAACACCCAGCGTTGTAGCTGCATTTTCCTAAAATGAGATCGAGAAGTCTTGAGTCGTCATTATCATCAACATCAAACAGAAACACCCGGCTCTGTGGTTGTGGATTGCGGGCAAGAATGGCAACATCATGGCAGGATGATAATCCTGGGAGACGGTTCTATGGTTGTTCGAGATGGCCTGTAAGAAAATTTTTATTTTTGTTACTCTTTCAACTCAAATTAAATTGTGACTGTGCATTGCTGATGTTTCTAAATGGGATTATATTTGTAGAGACCTGACAGGTGTAAATATTTTGAATGGCATGATTAACCAATTTGTACTAGAGGAAGGATGATTATACAGGGTTTGCTAAGGAGGGTGAATCGGATGGAAAAAACAATTGCAAAAAGCCATAGAAGGGAAAAAATATTGATTGGCATTATCATACTATTGGCTATACTGCTGATTATGTCTATTATTATAAAAAAGACTGGACATGTAATGGAGCGAAAGTTAGTGCTAAGCTTGGAGTGAGTTATTGAATTGGAGCTGCTAAATCTAGTTCATTTTGATTTTTGTATTGTTTTTGATTGGATTAGCAGTAGTAGAACTAGCATTGGCTGGTTCTCGCAAATTGCGGCATGTATTGACTCACCTAGCGAGAATGTAGGATTTAGGTCTTGAAGAACCAGTGTATCCTATGTATCTCTCTTGTTTATGTGGAATGTTGAGGTTCTATGTATCTCTTTTGTTTAGTTTATGTAATCTTAGTTTGGTAATTTGATTGTCCTTTTGTTTGTTTAGACTGCGAATAATTTGTCAATAAAACTAGTTTGAAGATAGCGAAATGTATCAATAAGCATCATCTAGACAGGACAAATTTTTGCAAATGATGATTTCCATTAATAAAGTACCAAAAACATACTGTTTCATACTTTTTTTTAATCATGTTTTTTTTTTGTCCTATTCCTAGGGACCATCCTTTTCCACTCAGTCATCTAGGTGATCATGTGGTTCTTGCCTTTGTAAAAAAGGTTATTACGGTCTAATGATTCTTCTAGCCTGAAAGGCTTTTAACAGTATTTTACTTGTCAAGAAAGTTTAGATGTCAGCATAACTAAGAGACATTTTTCAGTAATAAAAATTTAGAGGCACAAATACTTAGTCAGATTAAAGCAGATAACGTAATGCATTTGATAGCAACCTTAGTGTCTAATTAATGGAACCTCTGTGCTGAAATTTCCTTGTTGAGGTACATCATAAAAGTCAGTTTTTTGGGTCAGTTTACCAGTGGCAAGAAAGCAGGTGCAGCAACTGGAACAAACATCATAAGATTTTCATTCATTTGACCACCAAATTTTCATTACAAAAACAAGCCACAAGGCAGGAGAAAATACAATCAGTCCATCTCAACATTTCAATTGTGTTCCTATTGTTTCACTTTGGGGACCATAAACAAAAAGGTGACCCCCACCAAAATAAGATGTCAGCATCAAAAAAGGACAATTCTAATTGTCAACTTCAGTCCATAATCTACATTAAAATAAAAGAACCATGTAAGGCATCTACTATGAACATTTATAGTAGTTTGTTTTTCCCCTTCATTCTTGAAGAACTAGCAACTCGTTTGGTAGCGGCAGTAGCAGTAGCAGCAACTTCCATGTGGATAGATTTGGCCTTGACAGGCATCTACACATTCTCTTTCTCTTTTCTTGAATGTAGTGGTTGGCTGTATTTCACTTGAGATCTTTTTAGACCGAAAACTTCATATAAATTAGGCGAAGCTGGGGCAGAACTTGTAACAGTAACATCTTCCAAATGATTAGTCTCCTACTAAACCTTGGACAGCTTACCATAATTAACATCCTTAACAGTAACATCACTTTAATTAACAAATTACTAAACCTTGGACAGCTTACCATAATTTGGGGGTGCACAATTGTTCAACTCTTTCTTTTGCATCGACATATTTCTCCACTTTCTTACTTAATCACAGCAGGTCAACTTCTTCGATCTTCTAAAATTTCACGGAATGCGATTTTGAAGGGCAAGGGAAAGGGAAAAGGGTAAGAAGAGAAAGAGAAAGTTCAGATTTGGTTTCGGACAAGGAAAGTGAAGACAGCTGCATTTTCACCTGATTTTGTTTTTCAAACAAGGACATTTAAGTTTACTTAACAGTCATGTGATTTTCACGTGACCAGTTCCATTAAAAATTGGCTAAATTGTCGTTTGAGGATGACATTGGTAAAAAAT